TCTGCACCAGCTCCAACAGTGGCATGAACGCATCCTGGAAATATCACTTTAGTCTAAATCTGTATTTACTGTTAAAAAATAAACATTTACCAGTAATTAAAATCTCTTACCATAAGAAACAGTTCCTCTACATCAGGGATGGACTTGAGCATCCTCTTGACGACGAGGTGGAAGTTGGAGGAGAACTCCTCGGTGGGTTTGCCGCACTTCAGCATGAAACGTATCGTTCCGCGCAGGATTATATTTGTGTGTTGTGTCTGTAAGATTTAAAACTTTAGAAGAATATGGAGGAATTTAAACTATTAGGTATTTGAACTGAGACAAAATGACTTAAAAAAAACTTACCAAGCAAAGCAATTAAAGCAATGGATGGCATAAAAAATACTATATTCGTTTTATGTTTCTACTACAGAAGGAGAATAAATATCTTGCTATTTATAATGCGTGATCTTCAAAAGGTTTGTTTTAAATGTGAATATTACTGAGAGCTGAGTGCAGGCGAACTGTATCCAGGGCTCGAGGACGTGCAGGAAGCTGGCGGTGGACTTGATGTTGGTGGCGATCTTCCACCAGGTCTGGCTGAGCGCCTCCGCCGGCAGCCGCCGCGCCCCCGCCGCCCCCACCGCCCCCGCACGGCACACGTGCTCGCCCACGCCACACAGCACCGGGCTTAACAGCACTGTTTACACATTTAACTGTGGCCATATAAATAAATAAATAAAAGCTTTATTATTTCACTATTGAAAATATACTTTTCATGAGAGCCTTGATTCCTGCACTAGGTTCCCTATGCTGCAGAAACTAATCCCTTTCCCCATTTGTCCCCATTGTGAAAATACTTGTACAAAAGAAGCTTAAACATTATGAAAATTAATAAAATGTGAAAAAAATCAGTAACAAACAACTCCTTATTAATAAATGTAAAACTGAAGTATTTAAAAAATCGTTCTTACCCATTTTATCAGCGGATTTCTGTATCATTTCCAATATTCTTGATGAATTTTCAATAACGTCTTGAGAATCGAATGAAGACAGAATACAAGCCAGAAACAATTCACTCGAAATGGATCTGTTTTGATGTTAGTTCAAAAATCATTAAAATACACGAGACTAGAAATTAAAGATACATCAAAAAGTAGACAAGTAACACTAAATTATTTTAAGATTAAAACTTTATAGCAGATCCTTGCTGCGAGAGCATGCATTCAGAAATAGGTACTATGTCTTATATAAAATTCCAAGCAGCCATTAATTTTGAATAGCACTATAAAATATGTTATTTTAATATTATTGATACATACTTATTTTCAAGTTCATCGCAATGATTCAAAAAGTCCTCCAAAAGTGTATGTTTATATTTATGATAGTTGAGTGTTCCAAACATTAACCAATTTACTGCTGGCTCATACAGATTTAAGTATTGGTCTTGTGTTAATAATTGTGCCCCATATTTTTTAGTCATCATTGGATGGAAAATCTATAAAAACAACAAATTTATAATATTTAATGTAAGTATATACTTTCATAGAAGAAGGATTGAACAAAAACTGAATTGAAAAAAAAAACTTGAATTAGAGCAAAATATTCAACACAATCCTACCTGTTCATAATCTTCTAGAAATTCTTTAAGATTTTCATAGAAATATTCTTCACTGTCCTTTCCCAACAGCTTTGCGGCGACATTACATAAATATACACGCAAATAAACCGCAACCAATGGGTTAGCAATGCCTCTGATCATCGTTGTCAGTCTTTTAATGACCAATTTAATATCATTTTTATTAATAAACACATAGCACTTCAACAATGACATTTCCATATATAACCGTGGTAGTAATTCCCTTATAGATGCCATTTTAAACATCCAGTTCTGGCAAGTCTCTTTAGCTGATTCTGGGACTTGTGACGGATCTATGTCCATTGGTGATTTAATAATGTTGTCACTAAAATTAAAAGGAGGAAAAAATAAAGAAACTGTACAAGTTAATATTAACAGTATTATACAAAAGAGACAATCAGAATTCTGTATGAAAAATTATTACTTACCCATTGCTTTTATTTTTTAATCTATTGAATACCAAATTGCCGAAATTGTCCAATATATCGCATATCAATATAAATTTGCTTGGATAAAACTGCATTACATTGAAATCTGAGAGTAGCTTTGAGCATTGGATGCAGATTTTGAAGGCTTTTACTCTTTGTTCTGTGTCCCATGCCTAGTAAAGAACAAATTTTAATTAAAAATATTATGCTGTTATTTTACCATCAAATTAACACATTTATAATACACTTTTACCTTTTTAATTTCTTCATCAAGCATATTAATTTTTCCAACAAACTCCTGTTGGCTGAGACCTATGGTCTTTCTGATGGAACCTTCATCAAACTCATCCAACTGTTCCAATCTATGTTTTACTTTCTCATTCAAATTTGATACCTGTCTTATAAGAGCTGAAAATGAACTAACTTAAAATGTAACAAAAAAGAAAAAAGAAAAATTGTTAATTAATTAAATGTATATTTTTGTACATTTTAAAATATTTTTAGTTAATAAATGAAAAGTAAGGATACATATTATAAGGGGTGGAACTTTTTTAAAGTGTTAGGTGCATCTGGATTTTGTTACCTTTTTCTCCACCCGGCAAAAAACTGCTTACAATAGTCAATTTTTCCCCTGTTGTGAATTTGTTTAATATATTTGCCCGTCTTTTGCTCCATACTTGTGAATAATTTTTTTGTGTATCTATTTCAATTATTGGCTCCAAATCCTAAACAATAAAAAATCTTAACTTTTAATATATTGAAATATATGACAGAAATTACTGTAATAATTTAATTTAATTCACACTAAATATGCGCTAGATGTTAAGTTACAGAAACCATAGTCTCTCCTACTATTATAATAATTCAACTATGTTTAAAATCAATATTAATCAATATTATTTTTCACATTTTCACCATAGCAGATCTAATGTGTCAGTGAAGAACTATTTTAACTAACTTCAAAAAGGAGGAGGTTCTTAATTTGTCTGTTTCTTTTAAATTTCTAATGTACCTAAATGCATGCTAACATATTTCTTTTAATTACCTCATCATCTTTAGCCTGTTCAAATTTCAACAAGGGATCTGCCTCCTCAAATGCTTCAGTCCATTTATTTATACTATCAATAAAATTTTTGCTCATACTCTGCTTCTGTAAAACAAAAACCTTAGTTTAGTTGGCTTTTACAGTAAAGCAGTTAACACATATAAAACATAGTTAGCTAACCACATTTATGACTTCAACTTTTAATGGATGGGTGGATACTTTTAAACTGGGGTAATCATGACTATTCTTGGTTGGTTTTTTGAGTGTAGTCCTGTAAATATAAACTATAGTTTACATTATTCTACTGACATGAACTTCCAATAACTTATTCAATAAACTTTTTGCATTACCATTTGTATGTGGGCATAGCGCTTATGTTTATTTTTTATTACAATAGTACAAATAATAAACAATCTTTCTTTGCAATTTAATTTAGAATGAAAACATAAATTGACAAACTGAGAATGACAGATGACAGCTATTTTGACAATAGCAAAAATTTAAGTTGACAGTTAGCAAAGACTACAGATAAGAAAACTCAAGTCACTGATCTAGATAAATAGACGCAAACTGCAGATTTCTATTTATCACCGTCCTCACCACTTCCAGATTTCATGACGTCATGGTCACAGGTCCTGTAATTCCATCCAGACCTATCCTATAAACACTGTAATTTATATTTTTAAAATGTTTTCATCCTTACGAAGTGTCGAAACCACTGAACCTCGGTTTTCTCATCTTTAGTTGCTGGGTAGTTAGCAGTATATAACTATATAATGCTTTGAGTTCAGGAAAGGCACATTGAAATAATTTAAGGAGCTAAATTAATAATGGATATTAACTGAAACAAACGCTTAATAGTGTTATTTAATAACAAAATATTTTATTTAAATATTATACCTGTATCACATCACAATTTATGAAGTTTATAATTTCTTACAACACAATATTATCACAATTTCTATTACCTAATTCAAAATACATTTGTAAAAACACTATTTTATGTAAACAAAGGAATAAATAAATCATAACCTTAACACAGTTTTAAATAATTTATCTTTGAAATCACCAAAAAATAAAATTAAAGAGTTTTCAACTCACATTACTGTCAATAATAAATAAAAATCATTATAATACTGTATAATACAATTACAAATAAATTGACTCTAGTATATCTATCTAGAAGGAACTTTGATTGAATACAAAGAACTTTGGTTAAATTACAAATATCTTAAATTCAACCAATTCTAGTCAAATATTTTATACTACTTTTAGAATGCTTTGCCATTGGTACCATTGTCATTGTATTAAAAAAAAAACAATAATTTATCTCAAGGTCAGAAGGCTACAATATAAAATACTATACATGAAAAAGTTGGTAAGCATCTACTTGGTAAGCCAACTCAGTATAATTACTAACTTAAAAATTAGAATACTGATATCCCATCTGTTTAAAAAATTGTCTAATAAATAATATTTGTCTAAATGGTAATAGTTTTCATATATTACTCAGCATTTTAACATTACTTTTTTTTGCTCTTTGAGGTAAATCTTCCTTCTCAAGATGTTTCATATAAGCAAGAAAACAGGTCCACATGAGACTGCACACACTGATGAAAGGTACTCTGTTCTTTGGTGGAATAAAACAGAAGTTAACTAGAGCCACAGCTGGCCATATGGATGCTCCAACCTGAAAAAAGTATGCTTCTAGTTATCACAATGACAATGAGAGGATAAAGTCCAAGCATATACAAGTGCATTTATGTATTAAAGTCCAAGTTTAGCCCTATCAAAGATAATATTTATTAGTTTATTAGATAATAGATAAAAGACACTTTTTTTGCATTTCTTGACCTGATTTGAAGACCTTGAAGCCAGATATATGTCATAGAAGTGTTTTATAGACAATTTAAGCTATTTCAAGCTACCTACTCTTAAGCTATCTGACTAGGTAGTGTAAATTATGTAGTGTAGTGCATAATAGTATAAATATAAATTAAAATACCTTATATGTAGGCCAGAATTTAGCATTCACTTCTGCTACTGCTTCGTCAAAAGATTTCATCTCCAACATACTCATGCCAAAATAAAAACTGCACATTGCAAATGGGGTGTATGTTACAGTTTCAACAGCTGTCTGAAAAAATATATTCATATGTTTAATTTCATAAAACAAAAAAGTCATTGACATAAATACAAGTAAATTATCTAAAATATGCTAATTTATTCAAGGTTTCTTCCAAATTATTTCAATGTGACAAACACTATATTATGATAATTTATATGCACATGATACTCTAATTTTTATATAGTACATAATTTATATGTACAGATACTCTACTACTTATAAAGAAGTACACATAAAAAACCACAGACATATATTGGTAATAATAAACACAATTACAAATTGGTTATCATGGACTCCTCAATTTCTTTGAAACGGATAAATGTTTTTACCTATTGATTCTCTACCTAGTAGGGCAAATAATTTTCTGTTTTATATTATTACACACCTGTTCTTTTCATTCAAAACAAGTATAAGATAGAATACAGGTTAATAAATAATAATGACCTTTATAAGACCAGCACGAATAGTATTTCCAGGCCACATAATACTAGCTATAGTTAGCCATGTGTACAAAGTAGGTGCAACATAACAGGAACCCCATAAGCCAAAACGAGCACATCTCCACCAATCATAGCCTTCATCTGAAAGTTAACAATAATTTACTACATGATATACAAGCCAACAAACTAAGCTAAGGTACATATAATACAGTCTATACACATAAATCATATATAATTATAAATGATAGCTTACCACTGTCTTTTGTTTCAAATGTCTGTTGAATTAAACTTGAAATTGGCCAAATAATGCCATAAGATGCCATACCCCTTAATAAAGGATAGTTATCATATACAACTTTTATTTTACTTAGTACACTCATGTTGCTAAACACAAAATGAAACCAGTAGAAATGTTACAAAATAAAAATTAAATTTCAAATTGGGATATGAAATGTTTTTCTGGCAATATACCAATTACGACTACTCTACTCGGAAGTTTTAACTGAGATGACTGACGGATCTATTTCTAAACATGGCCTTGGAAGGCTTTTTCGCAGTATGTTTAATTTCAGCACGGATCACAATCTAGATTATTTACGAGTAAATCAATTGTGATGCTGGCAATTTTTAAACTATGCGTATCATTATTTGAATTCATTTTAAAAATTGAGAAGCTTAAGAAATACTTGAATTATTGTTATACACATAAAATTCTTATTTAGCGAGGTTAACATTATGTCAATGTCAATTTTAATATGTCAATAACATGTGTTTGTGAGATGACAAATTGGGACAAGTTTAGAAATACAGACATGGTTGAAACTATTTCCATTAAAGGGTTCTTGTTAACCAAAAAAATCTCACAATCCCAAAGTGCGGAGATTTCAAAAGTTATCAGTGTTTGCTAATTTGCTAGTTTTATTGGATATTGTGTTATAATGTGATAATTACCACAAATAGATTTTTGACACACGTAAAATATTTTTTCTATAGTGTTTAAAACAGATGATTTGATTTTATAATCTATGAAATGAAGTAATAAAAAAACCAAAAATCGGTGAAAGATTGCTTCGCTACTTGTTAATATTTATTTAAAATGTATTTAGTTCTTCGATGTAGCTAAAAATATTTAATTGTTGCTTTTAGAATATAAGTGTAATAAAATGAATTCTAGTTTGAACATGCACAGGTAATTTTAATTTACTGTTTCTGCGGATAAAAAATCGTTTCGCTCTATTAAAAATGTCTAGTAATTCTCTTTTATTCTCAATCAATAATGAGGGTAAAGTATACGCTCTCTCGACTAGTGGATCTTGTTGGAGAGAATTTATGTATCTTGGCATAGAGTTTAAGACATTGTCAGCTGTGCCGCATTTTTTGTGGGCGGTTGGAGGTGATCGTCAAATTTACCTTCACGTCCACGGTCTTGAGATACCAATTCGTGTAAAAGAAGAGTCCTATGAGAACGAGAGATGGCTTCCATTAGAAGGTTTTTCTGGACGACTACTACCAACAGACAGATACCATTTTTCGTCCCAGGATGGTAGTAAAGATAGGTCAATAGATTCCATAAGACTTCCTTCTATGGCGTGGCAATGGGAAGGAGACTGGCAACTAGAATTAACATTGGATGGTCAACCATTAGATCATGATGGATGGAGTTATGCAGTTGACTTTCCTGCACAATTTGGTCCAGTAAAGCAGTGGAAGTCTTGTGTTAGAAGAAGAAAATGGATCCGATATCGAAAGTTTAGTGCAATGAATTCATGGTGTGCTATAGCTCCTCTCCATAAAGATCCAACACAAGAACCTTTTATTGATGTTAATATTGGTGGTAATCAGATTCCGTATGCTTCACCGGGCACACTTGCAGTATGGGCTATCACAGCACATGGACGTGTCATGTACAGAACAGGTGTCAGTACAAGTTCTCCTGAGGGACAAAAATGGATCAATGTGAGTATTCCACCAAATTGTGATATTAAGCAAATTTCTGTAGGCCCTACAGGGCTTGTATGGGCTTTATTATGGACAGGGAGGGCTATTATTAGAAAAGGAGTTACCAAAGATTGTCCCACGGGGGATGGATGGCTTGAAGTCAAATCTCCACCTGAAACAAAACTCTCTGTCCTCTCAGTTGGAGTTAATGTTGTATGGGCTGTGAGCACTGATACTAGAGTATGGTTTAGAAAAGGTATTGATGGGAATTCAGCAGGAACTTCAGAAATAGCTGCAATGGGCACTGGATGGTTGGAAATGAATGGGAATATGGTGCATATTTCTGTAGGCATCAATGACCAAGTTTTTGCTATTGGAGAATCCAACAAGAATGTTTATTGGAGAAGTGGAATAACTCTGGCTGAGTTGACTGGTAAAAGATGGAGGATGGTGCAGGCTAATATGCAATTAAGTCGTACATCAAGCACAGCAAGTATTATATCATCTGCTTCAAATCCCAAACATCACAGTCTCAATATGTTAAATGAATCAAACACAAGTGAGTTAAAGTCAAACATCCACTTGCATAGTTCTTGGGAAGAATCACATTCTGCACCCATTGAGAATACCTTGCCTATTAAATCTGCAAGAGAATCTAGAGCCAAGAAAAGTAGTAACATTGAGACCATTGACCTAAGTGGGAAAAGTTATGAAACCACATTAAAAAATCCTCGTGCTTGGAGCCCTGTACGCAGTGTAGGCTCTGTTGTTGGTATGGAAGCTCAACCAGACAGTGACAGCAGTGTATTTGATACTGACTCAGGAATGTTCTTTGATGATGAAGTAAGTCAAACAGCTTGGGGAACCTGTGATACATCCTGGGCCTTTGTGGAAGCCGGAGGCTGTTCTGTAGACACAGTACAAGTGCCTCATTGGTTCTCAGACTCACAAAATGCTTTTAATTCTGATATTACAGCTAAATGGAGATTTTCAATATTGGAGAGTTTAAAAAATAGGAACAGTATGGATGTTGATTTATCTCGCTATGGTTTAGCTATTGAAGAGAAAGGTTGGACTAGAAGCAGTGAGGCTAGATTAGTTACTGCTATTAACTCCAGTGAGGACTGTATAATATCTTTGTATTGGCATGCTACTGAAAATACTGGCACCTTATCTGTCTTCCAACCAGATGGCACTATCAAGTTTATTCTTAATTTAGGTGAGATAAGCAGTATTACTACATGTTCAGAGCCAGGAAATCCCAGAATTTCTTTGGTAGTTCCAAACCAAAGTAAAGATGTGATTAAGATACAATATATGACAGAAATGGAACAGGAGGAGTGGGTTAATGTGTTAGTTGATATTACATCTCAAATACATGGATTGTCAGGAAGGCCTTCCAATAACTCTGTATGGGCTGTAACAAATTCAGGAGATATACTGAACTGGGATCCTTTACCAGCTAGATTAAATTGTGAAGAAAATGGTAGATATACAAAAGAATTTCAAGTGTTTGGAAAGAATATGACATCTGGATTTTCAACAGCACTGCACAATAATTTCACTCCTGGTTGCATATTGAAAATGTCTGGATGTTTATTTGATGACATAACAAGATTTCACATTAACCTCCAGGGTCCAGAGGTAAAGAAACAAAGGCATAAAATAGAGACTGAAGTGACCGAAGTACCTTTTCATTTCAATGTCAGATTTGATGAAAACACAGTTGTGTGTAATACAAAGGTTTCTGGTAATTGGGGAGCAGAAGAACGTCACAAGCTACCCTTGGCTAAGGGACAAGAGTTTTCTTTGAAAATTGTTTCGGAAATTAAAGGATTCACTGTTGTAATCAATGATGAGAAGTATTGCTCTTATAAGCATAGAATGTCACCAGAAACAATAACATCTGTATTAGTTCAGGGGCAGTTAAGACTTTATACAATGGAATATTCATCAACAAGTGTGATAATTGGTCCTGATGAAATGTTCTGGCGTATGATGGGAGGCTATTTACGCAAAGTTGAGTGCAGTCAGAATGGTTTTGTATGGGGAATTTCTCATGATCACAGAGCATGGGTTTACACTGGAGGTTGGGGCGGTGGTAATTTGAAAGGTAGGTAATAATGTTTATGATGTTGTTTATGACATATTTTAAAAATGTTTTTATCATGGAAATTGACATTCTATGATATATAAATTATAATTCTTTCAGGAATAGGAGGAAATGAAGCTATTCATGCAATGACTGATACACAAACTTATTGTGTGTATGAAAATCAAAGATGGAATCCATTGTCAGGATATACATCCACTGGGCTTCCCACTGACCGATATATGTGGAGTGACATCACTGGCAAACTAAAAAGAACGAGGGAACATACCAAGCTACTAAATCGACATTGGCATTGGGTACATTCAGTTTGAATAATAATTCACAATTTATTGGAGTACAATAAAATAATTTTGGAACTTTTAACAATTCCTTATTTTAGGTATCTGAATGGATGGTGGATTATAATACCCCTGGTGGGGTTGACAATGAAGGATGGCAATACGCCACGGATTTTCCGGCTCCTTACCACGGAAAAAAGATTTTTACCGATTGCGTTCGACGGCGCCGATGGTATAGAAAAGCTCAAATTAATACCGAAGGTCCCTGGGTTCGCGCTGGAAATACTGGACTACTTGATATTTCTATTTGGGTATGTAAATACACTTCTATAAAATATACATTAATTCATATGTATGTATTGGAAAAAGTTGTTACTAAAATGTAAGTGTAATTATAATTCACTATTATGTCAGACATATTGGCTTCTCGCCAATTAAATGTACTAAAGACTTACTGTCAAATAAACATATGTTTATCAATACATTTTTACCATCTGTTCTGATTTTAGAAGTTAAAATTGTAATTAATCTTTAAATTGTTCTTTTCTGTTTGATAGACAAATGGTAATCAGGCTTCAGTATGGGCAGTGACTGTTGGAGGTGACGCCATCTACAGAACTGGAGTCACGCCCACAACTCCTGCTGTGAGTACAAGTCAAAATTAGAATGAATTATATTCCAATCGTAATTTTTATTACCTAGTTGTCCTTAAAACTTTGGTTATGATTTCACTCATTAATTTTAGGGTGCTCATTGGGAACATGTGAATAGCCCCCAAGCTTTACTGGCAATAAGCACATGCAATAATATAATTTGGACTGTTGGAAGGAAAGGAGAACTATATTATAGACAAGGTGTATCTGAAGAGAACCCTGGCGGTTCCGATTGGAAACTAATAGAGGCACCAAAGTGTGGTTTCACTTACGGCCACAAGGGGTCAGTCGGTGCTAAAGCAATTTCTGTCACCAAAACCTCGGCTTGGGTTATACTCACCAATGGTGCGATTGCTGTTAGAACTGGCATAAGTAAAGAACAACTAGATGGTAAACAGTGGAAATTTATATCGGGTAAGAATTAAACCTATATTTTATGACATATTTGCAATATTTCTCTCAACATTCCCTTAAATATCTCTTTAAGTACATTTTCCTTTATTCAATTTATATATTTTTTTTCTTAATGTCTACAGACAGCGAGCAAACATACAAAGATATATCGAGTATCGAGGGTGAGGTGTGGGCGGTGCGCGCTGACGGGACGCTGCAGCGGCGGCTCGGCGTCACCGCAGAGCCCCCCGCCGGTACCACCTGGCAGACAGTGCTGCATGCACACTTCATGCATGTATCCGCCAGAGGAGGCTGCTTTGCATAGTATAGCCCTACTAACTTATCTGACCCGGCTGCTATAAGTAAAACTATATTACAATAGCTCAATGGACTGTTGTCTTTCTTTTATTTTTAAATCTGTTATTTTGTCAGCTTTTTTTACTGCTAACAGTGATACACCTTTCCCGGGCCAGATAAGTTGGTCACAGTATACTAGCAAATTTAATCATGACAGTTAAAGTACTGCCTATAGTTTAGAATTTTTGGCTATGTGATATAGGGCATGTATGAGTAAAATGGGGCATAATATTTTTGTCAAATTTAATTTTTAATTTATTGTATTGAAAACCAAAAATTTTTATGTTTTTGATTTATTATTTAATCGGTTCTAAAAGATAGAAGTTATCGAATCGTAAAGATCATTTAACCAGTGTTTAAAAAAAAAAGTGTACTATGTTCTAAAATAGCAGAAAAAATTACATACTTTTCAAAATTTAACTCATTCAAAATTAAATTTACTATTTCGCTTATAGTCGCTAACTATTTTATATGGTAGCTAAATGGCAGTGTTTTAGATTTAAATTGAGACCTGGATTTATTTATTACTTGAAAGCTCTTAAACATGTATTAGATTCTGTTTCAAGCTCTAACTAAAACTCTAAATTCTCTAACCATCTTATAATTCATATTTTCCAAGTATTTTTTATGTTTCAGGGTTCAAAAAAACATTCCCATATAAAAGATCTCTTGTAGATTTAAAATTAAATGAATTTATTTTAGGTTGCTCAAAAAACACTTATACACTTTTTTGTAGGTATTTTATTTATTGAATAGGATTAAATTTAGCTTTTTTATTTATATCATTTGTATAATGTACATAAACGGCTAGTCAGTCTAAATTATAGATAATTTTTTATTCTTATTATTATACAAAATAAGATTATAAGCAAAAGTATTAAAAGATTGTACCAAAAATTTAAGCTTAATGCTTCCCATGGTAAATAAAATATTTCCTTTGATTTTGCTTTTTATTAAACCCTATTTACATTTAATAATTAGCATTCAAATATTTAAGATCAGTTTTAATTGATATTTAAGACTGGGTGTTATAGAGACACTCATGAAACCGTGATAAATTATAAACTAAGTGATTTAGGCTTAAAAATTAAACAAAGTTGCTTCCGACTCTTATAATTATATATTTTTTTCTGAATTATTCTAAATGTAAGTGAATACAAAAAGAAAACAATCCCGCAATGGTGTATGTAGGTAGAGGTGGAGGTGGAGGTGTAGTTAGAGCGTGTAGTCGAGCTCGTATCTGAGGAAGTGGTTGTGCGCGTCGTTGTGGATGCGCGGGTAGCCCGCCACCAGCCCGTCCTGTCCGCCGATGTACAGCGTGTTGTAGATCTTCCAGTACACGTCGCGCACCTTCCGCGCGGGGTGGAACAAGCCCTGCACAGATACATTATTTATATTTCTCAATTCTAAGAATCCCATTTAAACATTACCTGCTGTACATTTATTGACTAGCAGTAGGAATTATCTTCGGAGAGAATAACATTAAAATTGTTTTTTCATTGCCCATATACAATAGTTTAAAATAGCAATGTGTAGCTTTAATAACATCACGAAAAAATGTCCTCAATTGCATAAGTTTACGTGGCTAATCCAAAAGGGGGTAGTCAGAAAACAGATTTAATTAAGCACGGCGTTAGCTAAATCTACAAACCCAAGATTGTTTATCTTAAATATTATCTTCACCTGTAGTGCATACTGCAATATCTTGATAGGTCCAAGGGCGACCCTCATTCCCTCCACAGCGTCCATGAAGGCCTGCACCAGATGGGGCGAGGTCTCGAAGATGTTGGGCCACACGTGGTTCAGCAGGTGAATGAGGGCGTCCTCGCAGCCGAAGCCGTACACGCCAAGCGCCATGTGTTTTATCGCCGCGCACGCCGTTTGCCGATGTACAAGGTCTCTGGATATTAAAAAGACAACATGACGTCATTAATGTCGGTTGCACGGACGAAAAACCATGACTCATTGTCACGTTCCACCTTAACCGAGCATGAGAGCGAGAGATCGAAATTAGAGATGGAAAGGCATGATCAGTCGAAGCATTTTCGTGTTAATAAATTATCGTTTGTCAACAGAATAAACCATTTTTTTATCTACAAATCTGAAAGAAACATACTATTATTGCGACAGATTCACCATAATAATCTGTTGTCTGGTGATCAACTCAAACAACCAATTAACTGCCACTCTTAAACAGTTTTTAAATAAAGTACTATTGCAACAAATGTGAATATAAGAACAGCATATACAATATTACCTGTCCATAAGTGCGTCTTCGAGCAAGGGGCAGACCGCGTAGATGTAGTCCTTGCCCATCTCCCCGATGTACTCGAAGAGGAAGGAGAGCGACTTGAGCACTCCGTTCTGCACGTTGAGCTCGGGCACGCGGTACTCGTTCATGAGCGCGGGCAGCACCGTGAACGGCGAGCACGTCTCCGCCACTATGGCGATCGCCACCGTCGTACATACTCTGCACAATACATTGCGATTATTGAAAAAATAATATCGGTAATTCACTTTCATTTAAAAAAAATCTCCATGGCATGAAACATGTAGTGTAATTTCAAACTACCATTTTAAGTAAAAAATTAGAAATATTGTAAAACCGACGGGAAATAAACTGATGCAGTCATTTTCTGCAAACAGATATCATTTTCAAATATTAATAACTAAAAAAGGAAATAAACAATCGATAACACATTAAACTCATATTGTATATGTGAAAGTTTAGATGGATGGATGTTAGTGTTTGTAGCCTAAACGTCTGAACAGACCTCGATGAAATTTGGCAAAGACGTAGAGGATAGTCTGTAGTCAATTATACGCGAACGGAGTCGCGGGCGAAAGCTAGTACATTATACTTTTACGTTGAACATACCTGTTCTGTCTCTCCTGTACTTTCAAGTTATTTAGCAGCGTGGCGAGCACGTCGTGGGGGCCGATGGCCTTGGCGATGTATCCGAAGGTGTTGACGGTGGCGCGGCGGATGGCCTTCTTGTGCGCCTTCAGCAGCTCCAGCAGCTCGAAGCAGATCCTCATCCACTCGCGCGCCGACACGAACTCCGGCCCGCGGTCCGCGATGCGACCAACTAGATCGATACAATTCTCTTGTACTTTCTCATGTCTAATAACACACGAAATTGTTTATTAGTATTTTTATTTATGTATACACATTTAAATAATAAGATAGCGTTATAGGAATACATCAATCACATTGCTATTTGAATGGTTAAGATTTTGTATTGATGTGTCAAACACTGGCATAAATGCTTTGAACAACAAAGATATTAGTCCAACTATGGAAGGTTTGCTAGGACCGAGTTATGTTCTTACATAGATATTATTATGGATGGAAATGTACGCAACTATAAATTAATATAAAAATATTACGCTAAAGATGATGGTATACCTGTTTTTCAATATGGGTGTCAGTCTTGGCAAGAGGTCTTTGATGGGTGGTGTCATTTTAGTCATTCCGATAACGTTGACGATGGCCTTCAGCGCGCCCAGTATCGAACCCAACACTTCAGGATATTCTTCACCCAGATACTCATAAAGTACTACGCCAAGATGGCCCATTAATTTTTCCTGCAAAAGAATTATTATTTACATTTGCTATGTTGAACATGTCACTCAGGTTGATTAAAAAGGTAAAATATGCCTGTTATACTTTTGCCAATTAATTTAAAAAAGTTTAATAACATATGTATGCAGCTGTACTCCATTCTATAAAATAAAAAACAGTGTTTTACAAAAGTCCTATGTATTCAGGGCTCTACCAACCTCTTGGCAGGTCTTCATGACGACAGCGATGCGCGAGATGAGGTCGGCGGCCTGCTGGCGCACCTTGGCGGACTTGTTGTTCATGCGCCACAGGATGATGCCGCAGATCTGCGGCAGGTACGGCTTCACGCGCTTGCCCAGCTGATTCACGATCGTACCGAAACCGTTCAGCATCACCACATCCTGCAAACAGACGTATTCTATAACACTTAACGGAACTATTTGATATACCAATTTAAAAGTATTCCGTAAGTATTTTAGTAATAAAAGTATTAGGAAAATATGTATTTGCCACAGAAATACCGACCAAAATTATAATGCTAACCATGTAAAGTATTTTAAATCTTATTTATAATTAAATGATGTATTCACCTCAGTAGTTTGTTCCTGGAATGCGTACAAGATGCCGTCAATGAGAGCTTCCTCCAACTTGGAGTCGATATCAGCTGCACCCAAGTTTGCGAGGATCTTCTCAATCGACTCCATAACCATTTTTCTGTACTGCTCATTGTCGTCTTTTAGGTCGTCCACAATTCTGTTTATTATCTCTGAAGCTCCGACCTGCAATAATTCACATTAATTCTATAAAGTGCAGGAATTCGGAATTAAAAAGAAATACGAAAATAAATAATAACAGTTTTTAATTCCTCACAGATATATCGCTAAATAATACTCATACTAATGTTATAAATGCGAAAGTTTAGATGAATGGATGTTTGTAAGAGTTTATAGCCAAAACGGCTCAACGGATTTCGATGAAATTTGGTATAGATCCTCTATATATATAGTCTGGAAGAAGACATAGGCTACTCTCTTTTAATTTTTTTTTTATTCCAAACGAACGGAGTCTCGGGCGAAAGCTAGTTAAAGATAATTGTGTGACTGACCTTATTAGCAATTTCAACAGTGGTATCGACCAGTTGTCGGTAGTTACGTCTATCGAGGGCCATGCGGTGATTCCAGAAGTGCTTAAAGAAGTGCGGCAAGATCTCATCCATAATGTACTGAGGCTCCACGCCGTCAGTACCGCAACACTGTTTTACTACCTACAACAAAAACAGAGACATTTTAAACACATATTTTTTTTTAAATTTCAAGACCCCAAATTAAAACAAATAAGAAACAATCTTAAATCGTAATAAGATAGCAAACTCTTTTCGAAACCAAATGTAACTAAAAATATAGGATGTCATAAGTCATAACCCTGCCAACATATTATGTATTTACCTTCAAGACAATCTTTTTCATTTCTTCATCAGGTGACTGGAACTCACGAATGAGGATAAGCATCACTTCTCTGGTATAATAATTAGCGTATTCTGCGTCCATGAGGGGGATGAGGTATCCAATAGCCTTGAGGAAAGCGGCCAGACCTTTGCCTCTGTGCGTCCTGATACCCTTCCACAGCGGCTTCAGTACTGAGTCGAATGACTCGATACCGTACGGAGTCGCAGCTTCGGCTAAAGCGGCGCTCGCCAACGCAGTGATTGTTCGCACTTTTTGTTGCTCATCCACAAGTCCTGTAAAAAAAAAATATTTACCAAAGTATGAAAATAAATACTATGTATATCTTGTCAGCTCTTAAATTTATGCAATTCGTTTTTAAATATTTTTAAATAATTTTAAAACACAATTTTAAGTGTAGTGGGGCATACTGGGAGGTGAGACGCAGTGCGCTAATGACTTTGGGCCTAGATTAAGAAAAACGCATTAATTGTGAACTTACCATGTTCAATAATCTCCACCAGAGATTTAAGATGTGGTAGAATAGCACAGCCCATAAGAATAGCAATCTGCTGCACAATCTTTATACCGGTGTGCCGTGCCTGCCATGACTTCTTAGATCTGCATACAGCCTTCAAGAATGGCAGTAGAGAAGGTATACCTGAAAGCAATTTTTAGTCCATAAGTTAGCAACAATGACTGCTACAATTATCAATATTAGCACAATTTATACCTAAAGCTGAGGCGACGACAGCGAATGCTCTTGCGGTAGTGTTTCTTACGTATTCATCAATATTGTCAATGTCAGGTCTCATTGTAGAGATCATGGTGGCCAGACCGGCAGCCTTCGCAAGGTTGGATATAATTTCACGACCTTCCACACGCGCGTAGTAATCTTCGTCAATCAAAAGAGGTTCTATCACCACCAAGATCTGAAAGAAATATCGTAAGAAATTAAAATTATCATAACATGAAACAATACAATTTTTAAAACACACTATAATTTGTTTCATTATTTAGTAGTAATTGAAATGTCTCTTTACCTTATGCACATAAGGTCGTACAAGATCATCCAGCTTATAGAGAATTCTGTCGATGACCTTGACTAGAAGATGCCGTTCCTGGTCCTCCAGAGTGGGGCTCATGAGCAGCGGGAGGATTTGGTTGAAAAGCGGGCCTGCACCGAAATCGCGCGCCTTGTCCGTTATCTGACGCAGCGCCGCCTTGCACATCGGTGGCGTGCCGTTCTGAAAAAATAACACAAAACTGAATTTTATTCAACAAAACACATAACATTTATATCATAAAAAGAAAGTAAAACAGACAACTGACCTTAATCTTTAGCAAGAGTTTCATGA